AGATTTAATAAATAATAATACATTTGAATTTTTCTTTTCCAAAGTTTTTGTCCCATTCCTTTTTCCTACATATGTTATCTTTATCTACATACCATAAAAAATCCACTTAAGATCTCAAATAGCTTTTGAAGCATAAATCAAAGACATTTCAAGCAATTAGTAAGTGCGAGATCGAGGCACACACCTCTAGAAAGACAAGTAAATATATGTATATATACATAAACATACAGATACTCACATATATATAGATATGAGAAGCTACAGCTATGGGGAGCTACAGCTCGATGTTCATGGTTTTTATTTTAGTTTTCTTTTTTTTATTTGGTGAGGTCAATGTACATTTAAATAGACGCAAATTGTAAGCTTTTTTTCTCTTTCGCTGTCTCTTTCTCGCTCCCACCCACTGTGATTTGTTTATGCTATATGTCTGGCGTATCCATTACACAAATATCTAATAGGAACATTTCTTGCTCCGATAAGATATTCGCATATATAATTATTTGTTTAGTCTAGCCGAAAATTGTCGAATATTGAATGAACTTTTGTTGCGGAAATTTTTTAACAGAAACAAAAATGAAATGAGCGATAAGATATTGATAACGAGACAGAAGCGTGCGGTATGTTACTTAAGAGAGAAACGCGTGACTGGGAATTTTTGGTAAAAGTTAATGGAAATTCCTAGAAAAATTATTATATTGCTTGATTATGGAGCGATTCAGAAGAAAAATTAAATAAAAGAAGTAAGTTTAGTTTCATTTTGGAATTCGGAAGAAAATTACATAAAAATTACCCTTTCCATCAGTAGCAAATGTAAATAAATTATACGATTTCCGATTAGAATTATATGTTTCCAACTAGAATATCTATTCTATATCTAATATTTCTAATCTATAATAATTTAAAATTTTGCTCAATCTGATTGCATTGAGTGTTTGCCTTCATGTAATTAAGCCTTTCACCTGAAGGATTTGTCCTTCCAGTGTCCGCAAACAAATAAAAATTGCGAAGGTCTAGACGATGAGATTAAACAGCAACGTCGGAGCAGAGGACACCAGCACCAACACACACAGATACATTCATAGGCATGCCTATTTATTGTCTATGTATGCGTGCGTACATACCTTTGAGTAAGCGAGCAAACGAATGACGGACGTTGGCAAAGGAGAGAGGGTAAGAATCCAACAAATTATATACCCACACACACACACTTACACACTCATACATTCATACACATAGCGGTTGGCCTAGGTCAAAACGACGCGACGCTACGTTTTGAGCGCTGAACGTGTTCTATTAGACAGCAGACGGGGGTGGGTGGGACGTCTTTAGACGGCGCGTGTGCAAATTAATATAATAATAACTTTAATATTCCAGCATGACTCTACACTTTTCCAATAGATAATCGACAACACTGACGCCATTTGTCATTGTAATAACATTCAACATATACAAATATGTATGTATTTATAAATGTTGTGTTTTTTTTGCGTTAGTTTGGTGAAATTAAATATTTTCATGTCAAGGTAGAAGGCGAAAGGAAATCAAGGCTGCCAGCAAAAAACAACCCTCATAATTTTCACTTTCGCAATGGCAATGGTAGTAGCAGCACCAGCTCCATG